TGTCGATGTTGCTGCACCCGCTACTGCCGTTGTGGTCTTCGGGGGTTTCAGCGGGCCGCCAAGAACTGAAATGGACCATTTCCCTCACCATTTATAACGCAAGCGAACATCATCATCATCAATACTCCACTTCTCCCCAACCATCCCAAAAGCATTCCGTTCGATTCCCCCGACATTCTGATGAGTTTTGATTCCCTTCCCGATGATGACGAACCACACAGGAAGCATAGTGTTACACAATACCGCTGTGTTTCGAACCACGAGAGCATGTTTTCCGTAATGGAAACGGTTAATAATGAAAGTGGTATGAAAAAATGCAGTGACATTTATACCCTTCGTGACAATAAACTTTTCCATATCAGCTCGCGTCTTGCCAGCGACCGATGAGCCTAAATTCACACTCAGCGCTAGTCGCGATTTCTTAGAGCTCTTTCGGAGTAGTTTCGAACCTGACCGCCACATACCAATTCAACTATCAGTACTTCCTCTCACCAGATGGATGTTTATGTCCCCCCTTAGCAGGAAAAGTCGCAGACTGCAGCCTCTTGTGGGGTAACCTTTTCCCATAGGCAACATAGTGTAACTGAGAAATCGATAGTTTTGCTACTTCGATAAGCCGACTCTTACTTGATCTCGAAGGCGTATGTCGGGAATAAGAGACGACACCTTTAAAGTGTCGTTGCAGCCCGGACACTTATTAGGCCACAACGTGCCGTCCACACAAGAGTGTGTTCTGGAAAATAAAGACCATCGTAGTACCAGGACCAACATATTTCCCTATTACTTCGCTAAATGTTCTATCACACATTTCCGACAGTATAAATTCGCACAACACGGCGTGATCTCAGCTTCTACTGGTAGTTGATGACATATTCCACACGACAACAATAGGCCTTGTACACGCCAGTCGGCATCGGAAAACACCTGCAAGACCACCATGGCAATGCCCGCTTCGGAATAGTCGTTTTCGTTACTCTCGTTAGACGTTCCTTTTCGGACTCTCCCACAATCTTCTTCCTTTCCTCATCAGACACTTGCTTCATCACAGCATAATCACCTGAAGTTAACAACGTTCAGAAAAGTGCGGTAATAATCATCACCATTAGGAAGGATATAAACGTCCTCTGTCATGTCCTGAGCCTCCTCGCGGGTGACAATACGCAGAAATTGCCGAGGAACTCCTCGAGCCGACTTAACCTGAGAATGCTTGCTTTTCTTTAAAAGGAGCCAACTCCCTCACCTTCTGTTTCGAGGCATATGTGGGGTCATCATTAGTCGGACAGTCGTATATATAATGGCCTGCCTCTCCACAGCGATGACAGCGGTAATGAGGAGGGGGTACGGCTTTGGTCTGTGCAGAGGAGGAGGAGGCATCATCATCAACTCTCCTCCGAGGCTCTGGTCGTTCACCATACCTTTAGACAAGCATTAC